GCTTTACCTCGGTGCGAGCGATTCGTCTCGGACGACAAAGTCCAGACACCAGGAATGTAGGCTCGCATGAGGCTCGAACACTTGACGCTCCAAGTGCCGAGGAATACCTAGAATTGGTTTCTTTCAAGGATTGCTTTCTATTAAATTTTAGCCTTGAGAAAAGTCTAGAATAAGTCGTTTTTATGAAAGAATTTTTGTTTTTTCCCCGGCCAAGCGGCTGGGGTTCTAAGAATTCCACTTGGAGCATCCGCTGCTTTAGAAATCAAAAAAAGTGAAAACGTGAGAGCGAAAGTTTGCTCTTCCATTGCCTCTACTTTCCAAACTGGAAGGCAATGAATTAACAGTAGAAAGTTGTAAACGCTAGTAAATATTAAATTTAAAATTTTTAGATCGAATCTTGTTATCATTAAATACGTAAATAATAACAATAACAGTAACAAATAATAATAACGAATATGTACACACTGTCCATTGAGTAGGTAATTGAGTCAACTGATTAATAAATCAATAGAAACAAATACAATAACACAGTTGATTTATTTTGTATAGTCTAGTATGCAGCAGCTAGCCATAAGTTTAATGAAAAACTCAAATAAATCAGCCATACTCTCTGGCTAGTATCATCTGAATAGTAATTTATTTAGCGACCGAGTCTGCTTGGTTTAAAACGTTAAAACTTTATTAAACTTTTAGTAAACTTAATCCTTTATTAAACCTAATGGGACTTTTTGAAACATTTGCGACATGAAAGTATTAAACATAGATCTAATAATAACAATAAAGTAGTATTATAAAAAATATAAATACAACGATTAATCACAAATTAGAAATATTGTATTAATTAATTTGTTTGCATATTCTATTCTAAAACTATATTATATTTCGACTAACATAATCCTCTAAACAGTTTATCGCATTGTTTGAAAATTGCTTAGTTCATACCTAATTTTTTGATTTCAAGAAATCTAAAAAAATATCGGAGTATTATCGAATTATTGTATTATACAAATCTTGTTTGTATTACACATATAATTAGTTTTAAGGCAAATTTTTAAAAGATATTAAAAAAATATAAAAAAATATACAAAAAATATTTAAAAAATAAAAATTTACTTTCAAGAAATTTACGCTCAAGGCGTAAACAGTTTGGAATGCCTATGGAAAGTTGATATACACGAAAAATTTTATTACTTCACGAAATACTGTTATGTACTTAGTGATTATAAGAAACTTAAGTTTGTTTGAATTATTTTCAAAATGGAATTCAAAAGCAAAGTGTATAGAGATCAATTTGTACCTCATAATATATAACAATTTATATACATATTTATATAATATATTTAATTAGAGAAATTCATATTGTTCTGGCNGCAGAACAGAACCCTCCGAGGCGTCTTGTCAGGTCAACTCCTACAAAGCCTCGGCCCTGCCGAGAATTGCCAGATGTGCAATCATACCTCTCATCCAAGGACACTTTCTCTGGCCTTGGAGAGAGAGACAGTATGTGAAAAGGCTCGGTAGGGCATAAACAAAGCCTTGTCTAGGAAAAAAGGCGCCTTGGCCGGCTCCAGAAAGTCGCCTACCAATTAAAAGGGCGACGTAGACATAGCGAAGAAAGGATTCGAGGAGTCACCAATAGACCATTCGGGGAGTCACCAATAGACCATTCGAGGAGACACACGTAGACCACTCGACGAGACACACGCAGTCCGTCAGAGGACTGACTCCGCGTCAATCATACATTCACCTTCATTTACACCCAATTCAGTCATTGTATTAGTTGAGAATAAACGTATTTATTCTACATCACGTCTTCATTCATTAAAACATCTCTCCAGAGGCTGTAATAGGCACGACGAGAGAGCGACTAGCGAAGCGGGCAGCAACCAACGTTCACCGCCGAGCTTGCCGTAACACATATACATATAATATTTTTAATTACAGAAGTCTCTAAATCTACAAAATATATATAGTGATTCGTCTTGTACAGCGGATAATTTGTGATTACAGGTAGGTAATGTAGGATCGGTGGACATTTAACAAAAAGAGATTTAACATATAATTTCGGTGGTTATGACCTAATTTTTATACGCCTTATACAATTTTACGATAAGCAGTATATCTCAGCAAATCGGTTTGGAACGAAACAGTATTTAAAAGCTAATAATTATTCTAAAGAGTATTTTTAAGAAACTTGAGAAATTAATAATTTTTTTCGAGATTTCTTAGACTAGTTTTTTTCAAATCGTAAAGTTTTGGAAATTCATCATGTAATAACTTACTTGTCAATTGTGCTAAATTAAAATTGTATAATTTTTCTTTGAGAATAATTACTCAATAATTAGAACGCAAGGAACATATAACAATGGACGGGTCACATTGAAATCATTGACACAGAATTCTCCGACACTGTTTTCACCGATAATATTTCATCGACTCCAGATTTTCCCGACAACAGTTTTAGCCGACGACAGTATTAACCGACAATGATACTGACCGATGACATTATTATGTTATATTTTCTAATGATAACGCAAAGTTTAGATTAGGTTTAGTTGTATTTTATTTTTAGTTGATAATATATATTCGGCAATAACAGAACCATCATTTTCTGGATATTCTGGTTGAGACATTTTTGTATAATTAACTATTTTTACTAACAATAAGAATGATTATAACTTTATTCGATATACTAGTAGCAATAAAGACCATAGCCAAACGCAAACTGAGGCAACGTCTATGGCGATATGCAATTGTCTAATGCTGTTGTCGGTCAATGTCATTGTAGATAAAAACTGTTGTCGGGCAAAGTCACTATCAAGCAAATCTGGAGTCGATGAAATATTGTCGGTGTAAATAGTGTCGAAGAAATCGATGATTTCAATGGGACCTACAATGAACATCATGGTCTAGTCAATTGCATACAAATATAAGATAACGTTTGTAAAATAACAATTATGATTAATTATTCTATGACAAATTTTAAAACCCATTTATTTCCATACATATATACATATGTTGTTAAGAATTTTAGATCACTCGCAACCATAATTATGTATGACTATCTAATACATTTTGTCGTTCGTTTCCAACAATTTGTAAGAAAAAAGAGGATTTCTCGAACAAAATAAACTGCAAATTTTGGTGCACTTGTAATTTGAGAGCAATATATCAGCTTTGCCTTATTAAATGTATGTTGGTGCGGGATAATTTAATGCAGAGGATTCTTTTTTTTTCATAAATGGAAGTATAACAACTGTTGCTAATAAACGATATAGACCTAGAAATTTTTATATGCTACGATTCAAAGTAGATTGCAAATGTGATTTTTTAATAAATAGAGCTGAAAATTTTTAGGCAGTTAGCCGAGATTGAATACGTGGCACAATCATCATTTATTGAGATTTGAAGAAAAAGGTATATCAAAATAAATCGCAAATACTTTGATAGTTGCAAAATAACATTCGAGATGAAATTTAAGTCTTACCGCAAACAAATTCTTAGAGCTGCTCTGGGGAGTACCCAATATCGAATCGAATTATGTAAAGTGGAAAATGATAGATATGATGTGCTTGAGTGATGTTATTTTTCAAGCATGATTTCAAAAAATTTTCATTTCTTATATAATAAAAATTTAAAAAATTTATAAATCACCTAGGAACCAGATTTGGTCCACATTGTATTTCGACTATACACATGCACAATGACTTTCATTAACCTTTTATCTCGCGATTTTCTCCTTACTTTTCAATAAAAATTAGTTATTTTAATATGTTACATCGTGTCAGATGTAAATCATTAAAAGCATTATATATAATTTGCTTTTTCTTCCAAATGGAAACCATAATTGCTGCTACGTGTAACTCGGTATTATAACTCAAAAATAAAATAATATTATAGCTCATTTTAAAGCTTGAAACCGACGTATTTTTACATTTCGTGGCGGAATGAAGACTTAGAATAATAGAAGAATAAAGACTTCTTTTCTCCCGAAAATGCTATATGTTGTCATAGTATGTAAAACCACTAACAAATTTTTTTATACTGAAAACTGAAACTGAAGCAACGAATTTGAAGGTTGAATCCTCCATATTACAAGGATATCTGAAAATTTAATATAGGATTTTTAGCGCCATTTTATTGAACTTTGAATACTGGAGTTTAGATGACAAAATTCATTCTTAAATTTAAGAAAATTCAAGAACATTTTCGTCATCATATTCGTTTTCGTCTAATATTCAAAGTTATTTCAATAAATTGGTGAAAGAAATTGAATTTACAGAAAATTTTAAGAAATAGTTGTAAAGGGAAGGCTTCAATCTTCAAATTTGTTATAGATTCAATCATGAAAAAAATTATAAGAAAAGATTCTTCACTTTATCATCATACACAGTGTATAAAAACATCTTTAGCTACATAGACTTCTTAGAATAAAATAAATGATAGTAGAATTACATTTTGATAGTAGAATTTCAAGCTTTAATATGAACCCAAGTTTATTGTTATAAGAATTTTTTATAACAATTTCAACATTTAATGTTCAAATATTTAAATGTTTGAATATTAATGAGAGTCACTGCAGTTACGATTCTTAATGAATAGAAA